ATTTGTTCCTTGATTTCTTCCCCTTTCATTCAATCACACCAAAATAGTTAACATCTATTTGGGGATTAAGTCAGATGCAATAGACACTGTATAGGAAGCAGTTTTTAAAATGAAACATCAATGATTTTACTATGTTGACTTCATTTCCTACTTTGGCCTATGATCACCGGCAGTCCTCAAATAAGCCCATCAACTGAGGATGTCCCTCCAAGCTACACTTCTAACTGAAGAATGAGAAACCAGAATATTATGAACTCCTTCCCAGAGGGAGACAATTTCTCTCATCTCCAGTGATTTCTCGGTCAATCAGCCAGATTCTTTCATCTGTAACAGGACACGGCAAACTTTTTCTTCAAAGATCCACACAGTAAATACTTTAAACTCTGTGGTCACACAGTCTCCACGGCAGCTACTCAAATCTGCCACTGTAGCGTGAAAGCAGCCGTGGACAACATGTTAACCAAATGAGTGTGGCTGTGTTCCAATAAAACTTTGTTCATGGACATTGAAATTTGAATTTCATATAAATTTAATGGGTCACAAAAACATAATCTTTTTTTGGTTTATTTCCAACCATTCAGAAATGTAAAACCCATTCTTAGCTCAGGAGACACACTGACAGCTGGTAGATCTTCCACTGCTCCATAGCAATGAATACCGGCAGTGATTCACTATACATCTGTGAGTTACGTGTGGTATCTTTGAAATACCGCCTTACCAACCATAAGAATTATGACCTATAAATGGGTCTTAAGTTCATAGGTGGCAAACTTAAATTCTTATGGGAAAAATATTTTCAGTAAAATTAAACAATGGTCAGCACACAGAGCACGCACATGTATGCATGCACACACACATACACACACACACACACACACACACAAACACACAGATACTGTACATATCCTAAATCCCAAATAGGGGGTGGTATGTAATACATTTCTTTGTTTTTTTATGTAATACATTTCTAATTACCTTCCCTGCTTAGAAAAAAATTGTAAGATCAATGAAATAATGTAAGATCAATGAAAAATAATGTAAGATCAATGAAAAATAATGTAAGATCAATAATGTAAGATCAATGAAATAATAAGTTTGTTTTGCTTAACGGTATGTCTGCTGAGACTTTTTTCAATGGCTTTTATCCATCCAAATGTTCAAATGTCTTTCTCATTGTCAGATTAGTATTTGTACAATCTCATCTCCTCAGTCCCACCATAGTCCAAGAACTTGGACAGTTGATACATTAAAAGCTTTGGATTTTTTTCTTTAATCTAATGCATGTATCTATATATGTTTCAACCCCCTCCCCACATGCAAGTTATTATAGCATTGCCTGCCTATGACAACGTTCTAGGTGTGTCTAAAAACACTTCTAAGGCTTTATTTTCCTTGTTTTGTTTGTTTCAACTTGTATTGTGTACTTCTTTACTCAGGCACTTTTTCCTCTAGCTCCTCTTTTTTATTTCCAACCCCTGGGTCCCTCTTTTTCTAGCTCTCTACAACAGGTGTCACTTGCTTGATGCATATACCCAAACTACATTTTGCAGCTATGGAAAAGGTCCCCCAGCATCATATCCCCAAATAGTACATAGGGGTTCATTGTACCATTCCTTCTTTTTTGTGTGTGTTTTATGTTTAAAAATGTCTGTGATTTCAAGTTTTAGAAAAATAGAGCACACATTCCTATGCTCTCGATTTGGTTCCAAAAGGAATTTGTGGCTGGGAAGAAATTAGCATATGTATATGCCACACCTGTGTGTCTTTGTTCACACTGCTCCCTCTACTTGGCATGCCCTCCCCAAATTCTCTGCCTGATAAAATCTCCCTCAACCTCCAAGGTCCAGGCAAGAACCTGTAGGAAGCATCCCTGCCAAGCAGAGCTGGTAACTGTCTCCTTGGCATTCCCAAAGCATTTCATACATCTCCATTAAAGCACTTACCATTGCATTGTGGTTAGTTGTTTACGTAGCTATCCCATTCTGGCCACCCATCCCCCAAGTCAATGGCAACTCATTTTTTTTTTTTTCCCCTGCCCCCACCACCCTCCCACACAGCCCCACAGTACCTGGAATAAGGTATCATGATTGCATTTCTCAGAAATACTGAGGGCAGTTTCCCAACTTCCATCAGCACCCTTAATCTTCCTCCTCCCCCACAAAATTAACAATCTAAGTAAAAATGCAACTTCAGAACAAGTACCCCAAGGCCCTCTTAGAATGAGATTGCCACTCCTATCTGTTCTTTAAAGGAATTCTAGCATTAGCACTACAGAAAAATGCAAGGTTATCTTGACACCACAAAATAAAATATTTACATGGCTCTTCCCAGTTTTCAAAGTACTACTTTCACCATTTGTTATTGTTATTTGATCCACTAATCCCTGGTAAGACAGTTCTATCCTCATTTTTCAGACACTCAGGGAAGTAAAAGTGACATCTCCAAGATCAGAGCTGGTGACAGTCTGGGCCTAAAACCCTTAACTTACTTATTGATCTATCCACTCTCCCATACTCCATGAATGCTAGGCTCAGTATTTGTGGAGGTTTATTTTTTTCCCCCACCTTTGGTAGGTTTTTTCCCGTACTGTGAATGGTGGTGGCATTAGATTGTGGCTCTATGTTCTAAAAATATATTCTAAGCAAAATCATTTGGGCAGATCCACATTATGAAAAGACAGAGTCAAATACACCCCACTTGTGTTAGTACTGCTCTATGATTCTGCCATAAGTACTTATTGACTAAAGGATTTCCAGTGAATTGCGGACTGTTCAGAAAAGGCATGCCACGCATTTCTGAAAATAGAAATATGTAATCTATTATCTAAAAAAATTCACTGGTGAGGAAGCACTACTATTTATAGGTCAAGTACAAGAGCTTGATTTTCTCTTCTTTTATAATTCATCTTTCCTAAACTATTAAATTTAGATTACTTATCACATTACCAGCCTCTTCACTTAAATATGCTCTCAGTTCCTCTACATAATTCTGTATGATTTAACCATCACTTCAATTCTCTTACTATTTATTGCAAGCAATTCTTCTAATATTAGTACATATCATTTTCGAGTAAATAGGGCACTGTCTGCCAAAAAATCTTGCTACTGTGTGGTAATTGAAAGTAAAGATTATTTCTCAGATATATTAATTTTTCAAATGAGCCACATTTAGCTTTTCTCAAATTACTTAATTTTTTTCAACAAAGGCCTGTAATAGTAAAGTATTCAGAGCACGTCACATTTAAGATTTTCAAGTTTGATCTGGTTAGGAATCTGCTAATTGTAAAAAATTTCAATATGGCAGAGCCCAAAATATTTCACACAAATGCAAATAGAGATGTCATGCAGATAGCTGCAAGACATGAATCACTGCCCTGCCGCATCAAACCCGAAAATTCAGAGGCAGTTCACTCTGCAAGATCTCTCTGCTCAGTTCTTAAAAGTTCAGAGGCATCACCTTTTAATCAGGGTAATAAAGAATAATTGCTAACATACTGCGTACTGTTTACTGCTAAACCCACAATCTGGACAAACAGAGAATTATGCTGTCAGAGCCTGGAAACAATTGCAGTCCGCAGTTGTTACACGGGGACACCCTCCTTCTGTAGAGCTGTCGTCAGGAGTTAAGGATGCTTTGTGATTTTTAATTTTTCAGAGTCAGGGTCTTTCCCCCCCGAGACGCAGGCACTCCGGGGAAAGCGGTCTCCCGCGTGACCTTCCTAACACAGACCTTGAGCAAGCGACTGCGGGGGCAGGAGCTGAGAATTTCAACGAGGACACTTGCTTGACAGCTCCGCTGGGTCCCTCACACTTTGCTTTCGGGGACAAAAAAGGAATGTTACTCCGCACCTGCCCTTCCCCTCACCCCTCCTTAAAACTTAAATTACATGTACCCCTACGGTCTGAACAGCAAGAAGAAAGGTACGGAGCTATCCTGCCGTCCCGTGAGGCCGAGGGGAAATCGCCCCCCACCCACGAGCGCAGCCTGCAGCGGCGGGCCGGCGGGTGGGCGCGCGCGGGGTGGGGGGAGGGGGGGCGAGGAGAAGGTGAAGGAGGGCCGGGCGAGGGGGGCCCGGAGCGGCTGGCGCTGCCCCCGCACCCCACTGCGCTGCCTTGTCTCCACCACGTGGAAGAATCTCGTGCGGGTGGCGCGCGCCCACGGGAGGCGGGGGGGGGGGGGGTCTGGGTGAGCCCCCTCCCCCGGCCGGGACGCGGCCCCTCTCAGCTCCCTCCCCCGCGCTGCGCCCAGGTGAAGGGCAGGGGCGGCGCCGCCGAGCCCCAGACCGGCTTGGGGGGCGGGGGGGACCCGAGCTACCTTTTATCCAGGCAGGCGATCCACTCGGCTGAGGAGGAAGAATGGGCGGCGTGCGCAGCGACCATGTTGGGCAGCGGCGCGCGGTGTCCCCGGCTGCGGCGACCTCCCGCGCTCGCTCTGCCTCCGCCTCCGCCCAGCCCGCGGCGCCGACCCGCTCCTCCCGGCCCGTCTCGCGACCAGCGCGCCGGCGACGGGCCCG